AATCAAGGGTACGGTCGAAACTGTTGTCTTCACAAATATAGCAATAGCATGAGCTACATGCATATAGCTAGCATTTGTAGTTTAGGACCACCTCCTCCTACCTACACCCCCCAACTCTGCAATATACAGTCATAATAATCCTTCTCTTTAACAGCTTTATGAGGTGGCCACCCTTCTCTTTCGGCCTTACTCAATGGTAGGGTGGGCTTATAAGTGCACACACTTAGTTCACTTATATTATTCGTGACCACAAAATCTTTTTTATTTTAATAAATACCATATTCATATGCATATAAAATCGTCTTTGAAAACTTGACTATCTTACATGTATATATGTTACACATATTTTACGCTGTCATTTAATTATAATTATTTAATTATTAAAATATTTGATTTTTTTAATTACTTTTAAATTTACAATGATTAATTATTATTATTAAATGTTGAATTTTTTGCCTCAGACAATTCATAGAAATTAAATTTAAGAAAAATAGAGAGAAAGTCGCATGAAAATTGATTTCATCCACAATAATGACAATATAGAACTTGTTCTTGATGATTTTAACATTTATTGTTATTATATTCCTTGTTGTTTGTTGTTGTTTAGGTGGGGGTGGTATTGTTTGTGATTAAACCAATGGGCTTGATATTCCCACTTAATTGTTCTATTACTAGCTAGGCCTTTGCTTTTCAGGCTATTTGATAAACAAATTCTTATATTTTTAATTATTTTCTTTGTTTGAAAATAAACGTAGTTTTAATAAATAAATTTTATTTTAAATTAATTGTCATTTTCACTTTTTAATATAGTAATAATTACGATTTTTTAATTATATCATTTATTTTTATTTTTTATACTATTTTTAATATATTAATAAAATTAATTTATTAAAATTATAATGTTTTATGATAATACCATTATATTTTTTAATTTACGTATACAAATTTTAAACTATAATCATTTTTAGATGGAGTAACATTTTTCCATTTGGGGGTAATTATACTACTTTTTGATAGTAATGTGCTCCTAAACATATTCCAATGACATCTTCTAAAAAGAGTTACTCTTTGGATTCGTCCGTAACATTTATTGTATTTAATCATAAATGAGAATGATAATTTTTTTCCATTCACTCATGTTTATTATTAATATATTTTCATATCATAAATATATAATATAAAATAATAACTTTAGTATGATGTATATAAAATTAATTAAAAGTTATCACTAAAAATAAATAATCAAATATTATATCGAAAATTAAACGTAACAATTTGGAACAACTATTTTTATAATTATTATGAAACATAAAAACAATGTTTTCTTTTTACCACAAACATTTATATATATATATATATATATATATATATATATATATATATATATATATATATATATATATATATATATATATATATATATATATATATATATATATATATATATATATATATATATATATATATATATATATATATATATATATATATATATATATATATATATATATATATATATATATATATATATATATATATATATATATAATCTATTTTCTCTGAATTTAAATATAAGCAATTATTTGATATAAAAAGTTGATGTATGTATATTTAAAACTGATGTTCCTATGAGTCAACGGCCAAAATCTTGTTTGAAAATAAACTTTGTGAGAGACACACGAATTATCCATCTAAAATCTTAAGGTCATAGGTGAATAGGTTCTCCCATTTATATATGCTTAAGTCTCCACATTTCTATTCAATGTGAGACTATTTTCCCACGTTTTATATTATTCCAACACTCCTCTCAAGTACCACTTCTTAGACGCATTCAATACAAATCTCTTTCGGTCCCTTTCTGGAACCAAAAGCTCTGATATCATGTTGCGGAGAGATACTATAAGCATCAATACATAGTGTAGGAATAAGCACCTTTATGAGAGATACACAATTTATCCACCTAAAATTTAAGGTGATAGGTGAGTGAGTTTTCCCATTTATATATGCTTAAGTCTTCACATTCTTATCCAATGTCAGACTATTATCCCACTTATTCACATTTCCTATATTATTCTAACAAACTATTCATATCAATAGCTTGTGCTCCATGATAAAATGGAGAATGCCATCTTTGCAAAAGGGATTCTAAGAGCTTTTCTAATGAAATAAAGAGGACAAGTATATGTAGGGTTCAATCAAATTGGAACGTGGAGTTTGAAACCTGAGATTCAAATACTATCTTCATTGGACAAAGATTTCAACTTAGATAACATGAAAAATACCAATGTGTAATAATTCACTAATTTAATTTAACATAAGAATATTGGATATCTAAAGCTCTCTTCTAGATTGCTTATGGTCAAAGAATCTCTCAATCACTTAATGAAACGACTAGTAATCATATCTTTAATATTTTATTGGATAAATAACTTCAACTACAAGAGATAGTGATGTGAATTGTAGATATAATTTTTTTTAATTTTAAGTAAAAAATTTATGCAAAAGGAAGATGAGGAATAAGATGAATAATAAAGAAAATAAAACTAAATGAAATAAGAGAAAAAGAAAGAAAATACTATTCTAGTTCGACTGAAAATACTTAGTCTACGTCCAATCCTTAGAGAACACTTTGAGATTTTTACTAAACAACCAAACTTTTAAACATGATTGACTTGCAATGTTTACGCAAAACTTTTAACATATGGTCAACTTGTAAGCTTTACACTTTGTAAAGTCAAGAAAAAAAATTCTTTCTAGACATACAATTAGATCTAATAAACAGGATAACACCGTTAGTAGAATACATATATATATATATATATATATATATATATATATATATATATATATATATATATATATATATATATATATATATATATATATATATATATATATATATATATATATATATATATATATATATATATATATATATATATATATATATATATATATATATATATATATATATATATATATATATATATATAATTTTGAATTAAAGTGGGAGAAAGAGAAGACTATTTTTAAGATATTCAGCCAAATTGAGTGATTTACTAACAATTTTGAAGGTCTTATATATAGTTGAAATGCGATAGATTCTCATATAAATAGAAATAATAAAAATATCATTCAAATAAGGCTTATAGTCGATTATTTGACAATGAAAAAGGAAATAATTGGCTTGATACGTAACATAATCGATTATCCAAATATTATAATCGATTACCCATTTACAATTAGGTGCATAATCGATTATTTTATGATTAATAATTGATTATTGGGTGAAATTTTTTACTTGTGACAGAAACTGACTTATAATCGACTATGCCTAGAGTGTAATCGATTATTCAAGACAAAAATCATTTTCCCTTTTCAAAAAAGTTTTCTTTGATATAAAGAAGTTTAGAAAACTATTTTTGCGGGTGTGTGTATATTTTAATATTAAAAGAGAATAGAACAATATTTACAATATGATCTTAAAAAGGTAAAAACATCAGAAGGAATGAATCAAATTGTTTCTTTTTTATTTAGGTCTGTTTTTTATGATGCTTTAGGATAGTCAGTCTTTTTATGTTAATCATAAAACAAGCATTAAATATAAAACAAGACAACTACTACTATGCATCGTCGCCCTCTCTCATCGAGAACCACCAACATGTGGATGATAATGAGTCTCAACGGAGATACCCATTTTAGCAGGAGCATCTTCTATGTGATCTATTATAGTCGTCGGGCAGTGGAGAAGCCTGACGTTGTCCTACATGCCATCCACTTTAGTATATAAGTGTTTGAGAACCATATTGTTGTCTTGAGAAGAAAATAGGGGGAAATGGGAGAAAATGAATGGATAAGGATGAAACACTACAAAAAAAATTCTTAAAAACTGAAATTAATTCTTTGAGGAGCCATCCTGCATAGTAGACCTATTGTGAGACGTGTTGTCTCCTACGGGTTATATGTACCAATGCAGTGCATGTATTATGGGACAAAGAAAAGCATATTCCTTATTCTTTTGGGCTAAATCAATGGACAATCAAGAAGACGGTGATCCAAGATCTAAACTCAACCCTAGTTTTGAAGGATCTTATATAAGGAGTTGCGTTGGGATTGAGAAAGGAGTTCAAAATTTGGGAAAATCACTGATAGGAAAATATCTCAGCAAAAGGGAAACAAGTTGAACCAGCCCTAACGCACCTCCCAGCCTTCCATTTTAGAAGAAAATCACCAGTCCTGACGTGTCATAACTTGACTCTTGCTAGTTCAAGACTTCAAGGAGTTGAAGTGTCAAGTGTAGGTTAATCTCCCCCTTTGGAAAATTTTGAATAAAACAACTTACAAGATATGATCTTCAAGAAGTAACACGAGTACCATACCAATCACACATTAAAACCAATAGAGAAAACAACAGCAACAAAAGTAAGGTGGTTGCCACACATAAAGAGATCAAACTAACACATACACAAAACATCATGCTGGAACATCTTGTCCCACATGATCATTACTCCCCCTTTTTTCCACAATTTGGAAAAGGTATAGAAAGAACCAAAAAAAGAACATCAAGCTTCAGGATCTAGAATAAAAGTTTGACAAGAACAACAACTAACCAGGCCAGCAATCAGAGTAGTAGTAGCACAATTAGTAACATAGTAGAAGTCAAATGGTTTTCTATACATATCAATGATCCATACCAGTTATTCATGTAATCACAAGGTCAGCCAGTGATGTATGAACACACAATTAGTATTTAAGTTAGAATCAACCCACACAGTTGAGGGTCGGATGCTTTAGTATTTGTGAACACACCAAACCAGAATATATAGTTAGTACCAAACACACTAGAGTCAACAACATATATCAACACCACACCACACAGTCAGTAGAGTCAATACTTAAAACATAATACCATATACACCAAAATAGCAGTGGCAGCAGCAACAAGCTGAGGTGAAAAAGCTCCAAAATTTCTTCATCAAAAACCATATGACATTCATCTACTAGTACACAGATGTTATACATAATTTCTGAGACATTTTACCTAACCAGCATCTTATAACTGAACTCAGCAACCCATGAGGAATACCATCATTTTTAACCTCAATCTCCTTCAACAACCTAGGATAACATCCTCCAGCTTTCAGCATTATCTTCAACAGTTGAGAATCACTATAAAGCTCCATACTTACATTATAATCCAGTGCTTCAACAAAATGTTCTTCTTCATCCTCACTTGCAATTTCCTCTTCTTCTTCAGCTCCCTTTCTTGGTCATAATCTTGTCAATAGAAGGAACCTTACTTCTGTCCAATTAATTAATTATTTAAGGTGAAAGCTTCGTACATTTTCCTCTATCATACATATTGTTATACTCTTTGATGCCTCTAACATTATATTCATTGGATATGTTGACAATGAACTCCTTAATCAATGTATCATACGAAGGACCAACATTAGTTATAATCTTCAACAACTCCATAATATCTTTACAATCAAGAGCCTCTTTACCTATCTCTCTTTCATCATCAATCCTTCTTTCGACAACATACTTCCACTTTTGACCACTTGTTTCAAAATTAAATGAAATATTATTGATGACTTCTAGGAAACTGTATCGATAGTGTCGAAGTAATAAAAAGATACCGTATCCACGAAAACTGTTATGTAACTAGACAACAATTGTAAAATGTTAACAAAGTAACAAATAGGGGGTTTATTTTTGCAAAAAGAAAATCTGTTATGACAATTATGATAAAATGGCCAGGTTTTGCCTAGAATCCATTATTTATATCCTGTTGATGTTTAATGCATTACATGAATGAAACTTTGTTATATTTCCATGGAAAATTAACAAAACCACTATACTTAATCCCTTTGTGTATAGCTCACTAATTTCTACTAGAGGTCTTTTATCCCTTCAACCGGCGTAAGTGAAATTGGACAATGATATTATACGTTAATTTTAATGCCACTACTCGAGGTTTCTTATCCCTATTCAACTGATGTAAGTACAATAATTATCCTAGGTAAAACACATAGGATAAGTGTAGGATCAAGCGCTTACCACTGCGCTAAAAGCAATTGCTTATAGCCAAGGTGCTACTCTATTTCCTTATAGAGAATCTAACAAGGGGCCTACCTGGCCCACCTAACACACCTGTATAGGCGCCCATGGGGGGATGTTAAACCCTTCGAATCCCTAAGGTTGACGCTGGATATTTTAATCCAACAATCTCCCCCCCCAGTGTCAGCCGGGGGGATTCGAACCCATGACCTAGCTCTGATACCACTTGTAGGATCAAGCGCTTACCACTGCGCTAAAAGCAATTGCTTGTAGCCAAGGTGCTACTCGATTTCCTTATAGAGAATCTAACAAGGGGCCTACCTGGCCCACCTAACACACCTGTGTAGGCGCCCATGGGGGGATGTTAAGCCCTTCGAATCCCTAAGGTTGACGCTGGATATTTTAATCCAATAGTAAGGGTCAGTATTCCCTATACATCCAAAGTCACATTAACAGAGTATCTCAAATAGTGCGCTTTAAGTACAAGAGGCAATTAAATAGAAATATAACTAAGATTAATCATGCAATATCAAATTAAACATATGTCCCAACACGTTCAAAATAAGTTCATTAGAAAAACCTAACCTAAGAGTATTTAACTACTTATACTTATAAAATTAAAATACCAATTAAGAAGAAGAAGGTTGCATAAATATTTTCTTGAAGAACTGGCCTCCAATGGCTTCAACTGGGCTCCAAATCTCACTCTCAGTGTTGTAATTCTTCACTTGAAGTCTAAAATAGCATAAACCTTAAAAATATGCGAAAAATCCCTTTTTAAAGCCTTTAGATTGTACCAAATCGCGTCAAAATTTTCCTAGAAAAAAGGCCCATCGCGCACGTCATAAACTACATCGTGCATAATGCACTTTTGGCATGCGATATTTCCATAAAGTTTCTCGCTTTTTTCTCCTTTTTCATCCAAATTTCTCTAAGTCCATATTTCTTCATACTTTGAAAATTTTGCATCAATATTTGGCCATTATTCTTCCAATTTGATAATCTTTTACTTGTTTTTATCCATTTCTTTGACAAAATACATGCAATGATAGGGTATCATCAATTATCCATATGAGAAAAGGAGACATACACAAAAATTCTCTCCCCACCACCCTTTCTCCTTATGTTGGACACAATGTACAGGATATCATCTTCATCATTTGTCTCGAAGTCACTTGTTTGAACAAGCTATCTATTCACTTTAGAATTAACAATGGAAACTTGATCATCCTTCCTCTGAGTTGGAAACTCCGTCATCAACATGTCATACATGTTGTCTGGCACATCCTGGTTGACATCTTTATTACCATCTTTGAGCATTTATTTAATCCGTAATAGTTGAGTGCAATTACTTCCATCATATATACATTTTGGAATCAAAGGTGTAATATTCACTATCTTCACTTGAAAATTAAGAAATTAGGTAACATCTCCTACCATTCTCAACTTAAATTCAGATTGCATTTGTTGAAAAAAATGCTCCAACATCTTATTTGACATCCTAAACACCATAGGGTCTTCAACATAAATGTGAACTATCATCATAGTCTCATCGTCTTCCATATTTACACCCTTCATGTTGTTGATATCAATAGTAGCATTCATATTGACTTTGTCAGTGAGATAATTACTAGCATCCTGATTGTCTTCCACATTTAAATACATATTGAGGAATTCACTTTCACATTCATCTGATAAATTTTGAGCTTCATAATGCATGACATTCTTGGTATCAATCAGCTGGCTCTAAGATGGGCAACAAGAGCAAAATTTTAAGCATAATAAAAATATCCATCTTCTTCATAAGGCAACTTGATGCTTCCTGATTTGTCAGCAACAAATTGCTCCACATCAAGACCAATGAGATCAAAATCTTCATCTTCATGGGGAGTTATTTCAGTTTAAGCACCATTTATAGATTGTGTGCCTTTGGTGAACAATCTATATACCTTGATATTAAGTACCACATATTTACATAATGTCTCATAACAACACCAACATGGGTTACAACAGTATTAGCCTTAACGTCTTCACAGACAAGATCATCATCACTCACAGAATTATTCTCATGGGTCAAAGCACCATTCTCCTTATGAATTTGAGACTCTATCAACATGTCGGATGATGTCTGACACATCTTTATCAACATCTTAATTTCCCATATTGGTTTCTTGGGTCTTCTCACCAAAATATTTTTGAATGGGATGATAATTTCTCATGGAGCCATACATTACTGGGACATCAATCACATTTCCACCAGCAGCCAGATCAGACTTATCACCATGTGGAATGTTGCAGAGAGCAATATCTCGAACATACATCTTATGACTAAGGTTCAATTCACTCAGAGAAACACCAATATCAACTTCATTGAAATTTTCCATCTTGAACAGAATAAGAACCTTAGAACTCACCCAAATAGAACAGGAGGCCTGCTCTGATGCTATTTGAAATTTTGTTCTCTTAAGGGCATGTCGGACCTGATGCCCAGGAAAACATGTACAACTGGTTTATAACATATGATTGATTCTCAACACAGATGTCAGACTTGATGTTTAGGACATTGTATACTAGAAAAACCAATTTACTACCAAGATTGTTAGTTTAGCTTATACAAGATGATGAATAAGAAAAGCAATAAAGAACACACTAACTGTTAGCCCAGTTAAGTGAAAACCACACTTACATCTGGGGGGAATCCAACTCAAGAAAGGAAATTCACTACTTTTAATTAGTAAAATTAGTATTATAGAAATAACAACCTCATGTTGTTCAATGCCTCCTACTAATCACAATGAATTTCTATTTAGGACACTGCATGTATAGAAGTATTTCACTCCCAATAGTCAGAAGGACGAATGGACTTACTCTGAATTCTCCCTATTCAAGGCCTTTTCCTAATACTACTCGCGAAGCTTCATTATACATTTCCCCTAAACATGAGAACGATCTCACTTTAACTGAAACATTAATCCCAAGTGTTTAGACAATTACAATATGATTGAGAAGATGAAACAATCATACGACATAAATACTTTGTTCTTAAGTTTATAGAATTAGTATCTTGGGAAAAAGTTTTACAACTCAAATAACAAACCAAACTATATAACTTAAGATATGAATGAAGGTGCTAGAGTGGTGCACAACAAAAACCCAAACAAAGACTCAAAAGATAAACCCTAACACAAGTAATATTATATACTTGTACACCTCAAATGTGAAGTTTGAGTCTCCTTAAATAGAAATCAAATTTGGTGTTTTTCTAATGGGCATTAGCAGCTCTAATTTCGTCAAGAATTATAGGAGATTCTGTTTTGATTTAATTCTTAACAACCTCCAAAAAATATGATTTATATTGATTAAAATAAAAATATAAATATTCATTTAAATTGAATTTATCTCAACCAATCTTTAACAAACAAATCCTCTTAAATTCATTACTAAAATATAAAAACAAATTTGATTGAAGTCAAACAAAATTTTTGCACCTAACAACATCCATCATAGCATGCTGACAAAGGCCAAATGTTGCATTACACACATGCTGGAACATCGTGTTCCACATGTTGCACCAAAGTATCCAAAATAACTCTTCTCATATAAGTCTTCTTTTTAGAGTAAATCGTGTATTAAAATTCTTAACCAAAACTTTCTTTAAAGCAAATCCAATCAAATATTCTTTGACTAAATAAAGTCAACATCTTTTAATTAAATTATATCATCCATATTCATGATTTAGTCATTTTTTTCCAAATTGATTTAGATTAAAAAAATATTTCAAAAGTAAACTTATGCATCTTCTGAAGAAGTTAACACCATAAAAAACTGAAGGAAGCCTGAAGATAATCAGAACCCAAACCTTATGCTAAGATGTCACATAACATGTGGTGAACATTTTGCTCACCAAGTTGCTTATAACCAAATCTTCCACTCAAACACTTTAGCATAAACTTAAACTAAAAAAATCTTCTTTGAAAAAAACATAACCATGCTCAGATTTCTTCATAAAATCTAGCTAACAGACCGAAGCCAGATGCTGGAACACATGCTGGAATATCTTGTTCCACATGTTTCCTCTACACAAAAGTGCATCTTGTATATATGTTATTTTATCTGATGTGGCCAATCAAAAGGAACAACAAACCTTTTTTGTGGCTACTTGACATTTTTCTAACAAAATCTAAACCATATGGGCTAGTGGAGTAATTCAGCACATGTTAAATTTCAGAAGGAATGGTACTTTATTTCCCTATGAAGATCTGGTCTTAAAAATTATGATTCCTACTAGAGTTGATTTGGAAGGGGAAGAATGTGATACAATACATTCAAAGATCGAAAAATAAACTATAAAGAAAATGAAAATCAAAAGGATGAATGGTGTTTGGGTATATGCTACTAAGGCTCATGATGAGCAAGGTCTTTAAGTTCCTAAGGCTCTCCAGTAACCAGAGCGGGAAAATCATGAGAAGTTTGAATTTAAGATACCTCCATAACTTCCTAGAGAAGCTCTCCTTAACACCATTCAGGAAAGCACTGAAGATAGAAAATGAGTGCTTCGTCGATGGTCTTCCAATGTCACATTCATCACTAAGCACTTGGCAAACACAAAATTCCAGATTCCTTTTGGGTTTTTGGATAGTGGTAACAATGATGGTGTTTAATAATGGTTTTCCTCAATGGGATTAGAGCATACTCTCTTTATTTGAGAGGGGATTAACCACTCCAATGTTTTTCATCTTAATCTATTTTACCACCTCCAAGAGAGATGCATTATCTCATCAAGAAGAGGGAGAATTTGGTTCTATGTTATGTACATGTGATTATGGTTTTGATGATGATAAAGGGAATGGAGAAAAATTATCATTACCATCATCAACAAAGAAAAAGGAAGATAGTAAATAAAAAAAGGTGATAAGGTTCTGATGTTTGACACAAGAGAATTAAATTCTTATAAAAAATTAAATTAACTAATGTCTTTTGCAAAAGCTCACACATAATCATGTGCCTTGGGTTCTTTTTATCTGTTTAGGATCATTACTTTTTAATATTGAGTTTGAGTAGCTCTCAAAGTACTAAAGTAATGCACATACAAATTTAAGCTTTTTTCTAAAACTTCATATGTTACAAAATATTCTTAAAAATATTTTTGGCCAAATATTAATCTATTAAAAACTTATTTTATTAATTAGGAAGAAAAAACTAGCTCTTTAATCGATAGGACACTTATCTAATAAATTATGGAGAAAGCTTCCTCTATAATTGATTAAGAATCCTTCAAATAGATTAGGATCTAAATTTAAAAATTTCTTTCCTAATTTTCTAGGTCATAATATATTACAGTTGGTGTCTATCTAATCAATTATGAAGCGGATTTAGCCAAAAAAAATTCTTTCCTTGCCAAAAATTTAATTATATAAGAAGGACTTATGTCCACTTCATAAAACCCATGAAATATTAAATATTATTATCTCTTTTACTCTCATTATTTTATTAGAAACTTCTTATACACTTAGAGATACTTTAGTGCTAAGAGAGCAAAAATATTTAGTAAGAGTTGTGCTAGTGTAATTGTTGTTTAAATATTTTTGAGTTGTACTTGTAAATCATGTTATTCTCTTGTAACTATGAAATAACTATAAAGGTTGTAATATGAACCTTGATAAAAAATTTGTCCAGAAGGCTGTGAGATGATTCAATGGTAAAAAATCATGTTGTTAGTGGAAATCTCCAGGAGAAATCTGTGGGGACTGAAGTAGGCTTTATCTTTTTCCTTGACACTATGTGTCATACCTCAAATTTGTCCGTATTGGTGTTAACAATCAATTTTACTTCATTAGGACTATTGGGTTATTGTTATACTAATTTTTATATTTTATTCTCATACTAACATTTATTTATATTATATAAAAATATAAAATTAGGGTTTTTTTTTAAAATTATTGTCACTTTTTGTTTCTTTTGGGCTCATTATCCAAATTTAATTAGATGGCCCATTAAATTTGTTAAGAAGCCTTTGTTGATTTTAGTATAATTATTTTATTAGTTATTTTATCATTTGGTTGACCAGAGTCAACACTCCTCTAAATTATTAATTTTCCTTTTATTGTTTTTATTATTGTTTTGTTTTAATAAATAATGGTAATATTGTTATTTTTTATTAATATTATTACTATTCTTAAGTGTGCTGAAGGTCAACATTGCTTTGAAATATATTCTTCTCTTGTAATATTTTGTTTTCGTTAAATTAATTATTTAGTTTATTTTTGAATAAAAGTTGACTAAGTTAACTTTATGGTTTCAAACCCTTGGTTTTGTTGCGCCCAATTCTTTTGTCTTCAACCATAAGTCACTAAAAGCCCAAAATCTAGAAATTCTTTGGTGAATCTAATCAAATCAGGAAGATTGAAAATTGATTTTATTGATTAAAATGAATATAGATACAAATTTCGCCCAAATACATGAGTCATTCAAACCCTAATTTTTAGTTACATCATAGAATCAAATAATTCCTGAATCAAATCTCTAAATTGATTCAATCTAATCCCTAATTGAATCAATCTAGCATATAATAGCAAATTAACTTAATACTAATTTCCTAAATTAATCTAACCCTAAACTTATAAATACCTAATATCTAAACAGAGAAGAGGACCAGAAAAATTAAAAAAAAACATAGAAATGGAGAAGAAGATTGAAGATAGGCGATTGAAACACTGCTCATTGTTGTGTCCACCTTCCTCAATCTGTGCACCTGCGAATAAATAACAAAGGGATTAGAAGAGGAGAAATCAAAGGGAAATTACTTCAAGATTCTCTTCAGGAGAGGTTATCCTAGAACTTAGCTTAGGAATTATGATAACCGTTGTTGTGATTGTTGTTGGATTTCTGGGACTTTTGTGTTAAATTAGGGTTTTTTGGAAAAGGTGGAGGTTAGGGTTCTTGGCTAGGGTTAGGGTTCATCATTATGGTCTAGGGTTCTAAGGTTTAGGGTTAATGTTGTTAGGGTTCTTGTGGATTTCCAGAAACATATGAAGTTCTTGGAAAACTTGCATCTAAGACGGCGACCTCAACGGCTGCCCATGGTGGAGAGTTAGGGTTCTAAAGGGGTTCCTAGGGTTCATGTTTGTTTTCTGGGTTTGGTTGAGTTTCACAGTTGAAACTCAACAGAAAACTGGAAATGGTGGTGGCTATAAAGGTGGTGCCATCGACAGAGCAATTTCCAGTGGGCCAAATGTTTCGTTCATTTAAGAATAGAGAGAGGAAGAGCAAGTGGAGAAAGAATGAATCAGTAAAATGAGATAAATTATGGAAGTCTTGCTTA